CTTCCACTTAGTTCTTGAAGTTATGTAGTTGGATATCTACCCTGAAATCAGTCTAATCTTTTCAAACCAACACTTTAAGATTACATTTTTATAAAAATTTTTCATTCATCTGCAATTCAAACTACTCAGAAAATTTATAGAAGTAATATATTTCGAAGGTGTTGAATAAGAATGCAGATATTTATTCAGTAATTATCGATTGATAACGTATAATTTTTCATAAGCAAAAACTCAATTCACAATCATTGCAATTAACATTCCTCTCTGATAACTTACGGTGAGACTACATTAACGACCTACTTAAAGTGTACTATATTTTTTTCAATTCATTGTAACATCGGATGATAACAGTTTTTAACATGAAGATTTAGGTCAAAGTAGTTCTTTACTTCTTTTTATTTGCTTTGTTTTTCACTATTGTTAGGACATTTATATAGTCTGACTTTATTTTTGAAGAAGCAGTTACAAATAAAAGTGAAAAGCTAGTCGATGAAGCATTCTAATACAATAAATCAAAAGACTGTCGGAAGGAACAATATTATCTTGAAAGAAGTCTCTTCAGGTTCTAACAATTAGAAAATAGAATTTCAAGTTTAATCACAAACAGATTTCATTTAGAGAACTTTTAAAAATCACGGAGTACTGGAAAGCTGTTTCGTCCTCCCTTGGAATTCATCAGTGACACACACCCATGATCTTAGAAGGGATTGAACCTAGGACTTACGGCTTACTAGGTCAGTTCGTTGACCAATCAACCAATGCAACAGAATTCAATGTCCCATCAGTTCTCACTTTACCGACTAAAGGTATGTAACGCGATATTCAGTTAGTGTCAATCGGTGACCAATAGATTAATTATCGAGTTTTTGTTTACAGGGTTTTGATTGACTTCAAGTGTGATTTATTATCATCAGAATGAAAGCCAGGTATTTGCGGGCGAATATATCTTCTTAACGTTGAATATATATACGACTACAGGCTCGAAATCCGATGAGTTTTCAGTCTTAAGAAGAAAAGAATAAAAATCATTCATGTTTCGAATGTGGTGAGCTGATATAACTACACCTAATTCCATATTGGTTTGTTTATTAGATGTATCACACAGTCACAGAAACAGTATTATTTACTGGATGACGTTTCGAACAAAATTTATTACTGTTCATAATCATATCAATTATGATCATACGACTTCGAAACCTGAGTCATATAGTTTTCTTTGTTCTCTCCTATTTGTCGTAGGGGTAGTAGAATTTTTCAGATATCACGGACAGGTGATGAATCATTCCTATTACATGTATTTGCAGTTGATTCGATAAACAAAGGTTCTGTTATCAAACTCTCCTTCCACCCTGTGACATTCGATTTTGAGACTGTCATCCTACCCCATCCAGCCTATTGTATGGTTGTGTGTAATTCCATGCGGTGTAGTGCTGTAGCCGAACTATTCTCTAGATTTCTTATCTTATTTGGGTCAACCAATCTAGATTTTGCTAGGTTTTTATGTCCAGCCAGTCTGAGTGCCCCTGTTCTACTAGTTTGACCTATGTATTTGACCTGACAATCATTCCAGCAGGGTATTAGATAAACTAAATTGTTTTGTTTCAAAAGCTCCACGGGATTGATCCTTTAACCGACAAAGCTTGTTTATAATTGGGTTTGTGGATGTGAATGCCACTTTTATTCCTGCCTTCTTAAGAATTTTGCGTGATAATAATAATAATATTAATGACGACACCAACAATAAGGAATCTAAATCATCAGTAGTAATCCCATACAAGGAAGGAACCTGGGAAGCCCTACGCAGAATTCTTAAGAAGGCAGGAATAAAAGTGGCATTCACATCCACAAACCCAATTATAAACAAGCTTTGTCGGTTAAAGGATCAATCCCGTGGAGCTTTTGAAACAAAACAATTTAGTTTATCTAATACCCTGCTGGAATGATTGTCAGGTCAAATACATAGGTCAAACTAGTAGAACAGGGGCACTCAGACTGGCTGGACATAAAAACCTAGCAAAATCTAGATTGGTTGACCCAAATAAGATAAGAAATCTAGAGAATAGTTCGGCTACAGCACTACACCGCATGGAATTACACACAACCATACAATAGGCTGGATGGGGTAGGATGACAGTCTCAAAATCGAATGTCACAGGGTGGAAGGAGAGTTTGATAACAGAACCTTTGTTTATCGAATCAACTGCAAATACATGTAATAGGAATGATTCATCACCTGTCCGTGATATCTGAAAAATTCTACTACCCCTACGACAAATAGGAGAGAACAAAGAAAACTATATGACTCAGGTTTCGAAGTCGTATGATCATAATTGATATGATTATGAACAGTAATAAATTTTGTTCGAAACGTCATCCAGTAAATAATACTGTTTCTGTGACTGTGTGATACATCTAATAAACAAACCAATATGGAATTACTTACTGCCATAGTGCCCAAGTTTTACACATATATTAATATAACTACACCTAAATTATTTCACATATTGATTAAATAATAATGAACTGTTCACTTAGTCTTACTATCTTCTGTTGTACGTATACTACGTTTATACTCGTCACTAATCAAATACATTCTACAAATGTGAATTAATTCATTAATTTTCTTTCTCCATGTCAACACCCTTAGTCTCTAAAAATTTATTATGATTAGTCATCATTTCCCTTCATTTCACACTATTTTGTAATTGCATTCAGCTTATCACTTTTATGTTACAAACACGATTTTTTTGTCACCTTACAACTTCAAACTAATTTGATTCTAAATCTGTAATCATCATTATTATTCAGCATTATTATTATTATATCCTTTAGTTCCTAGAGGAAAATAGCGCTTCAGCTGCGCATCTCCATTGCCTTCGGCCAACTTTTTCACCCCGCTCCATGTCTGCCCACACGCTTGCATCTCCTCTTCACATGACCTCCTCCAAGTCACCCTCGCACTGATGACCAACTCACCGATTCCCTTTCGGGTTCCACTCGAGCGATAGCCTGTCGTGTGATGTCACTTGATGGTTTACTCAGAGTATCGCCAATTCATCTCCATTTCTTCCTGCCTATTTTTTTCTGAATCGGTTCTTGGTTGGCTTGCTCATTGCCAGAGATTCCTGTTGCTGATCTTCTCTGGCCGGCCATCTGATCTTGAGTATTGAGCGAAGACAACTGTTGATAAAGGTCTGTAGTTTGTTTGAGATGCTCTTTATGACGCGCTGGCCAAGCATCTGATCCGTATAGTAGCACTGACTGACTTCACATTGGAGTTGAAAATCGGGATCTTATTTTTGATGCTGAGTGATGTTGACCTCCACACAGACTTACGAGTAATGAAAGCTTGTCTTGCTTTTCCGATTCTGGCTTTGATATCCTCGTCAGTTCCATCGGCCTGTAGTTGAAACGATGATTCCTAGGTGGGTAGGCAAAGGATGTGGTTTCTTTCGGGTTCCTCCCATTGATGCTGATTATTGTCTGTTGTTGTTGTTGCTGTTGGTATTGGCCAGGAATCTTCACCACCTCTGTTTTATCTATGTTCACCTGGAGGGTGTCCTATCTTTGATGCTTCTTCTTCCAGCTTGTTGCTTTTCACTTGCATTATTCACCATCAGAAAAATGTGTTTACTGAATACTTGTCTATTATAGTTAAAATGATGACAATAGTTATTCTATAACTATAAGAAGCTAAGGTACATTTATTGAAAACAAAATTCTTTTAAGTGTTGGTGTGTAGGGATTTTATTGGTTTCAGGATTTTCGGTAACCGGAAGGTCCTGGGTTCGAATCACGGTGGGTGCGTACTGCTGAAGAGTCCCAAACTAGGACGAAACAGCTGTCCAGTACTCCCAGGTTTTCCAATGGTTCTCTAACTAATGTCAGCTCATGATGAAATCCAAAATTCTTTTGGTTGACCATCTATCTGTCTTAATGATATCTCTCAGAATTCACTGAGAGACTGTTGTTCCATCACTTGTGTAGGTGTTCTCAGAATCATAATGTGCTAGTGTTGTAAACTTCTAAAGCAAGAATATTTCGCCTAATACTTTGATTCTCTGTACTAAACTAGACAAGTGATTTAAGGTGATTATTACTCATAGTGTTTTCAAAAATCTTAACAGAAAATATTAATGATTGTTAAATGTGTGTTGTCAGCTCATGATGAAATCCTCCAACCAGTGAAACAAAATCCCTACAAAACCAATACTTGAAAATTGATCTGATGCTCACAAGCGGCTGGCCTTATTCACGCAGTTAACCTGAGGTTCTAGTGGGAAGCCGTGATCAGTAGGGTGAAGCAGGTTGATGGTGAGGCGGTAACTCATCAAAGAAGATATTGCGAAATGGTCGTGCTATATCATGAATTGGCAAAAGTTAGAATTCATGTGCTGGCCATTGGATCGGGTCCCAAATGCGTGTTACCAAAACTGAATATAATCTAAAATAAATATTTATGCTCACTGATCAATGAGATGTAAACTGATCATTTGATTTAAGTATCTGATAAGTAACAAAAGATGTTGCAAATCCTACAAAAGCATTTTACACTTTATGCACGTAAAGTTATCAGAATGATGAAGGATTATAAGCTAACTAAAAACAGAGGAAATAACAATATTTAGTTTCTAATTAGGAGAGATTCGAAGGCATATGTAACACACCTCACATTATCTAACTCATCCTGATCGCCTTATGTGACATGAATATTTTTGTTATTTTTTGCCTGACATGAAATGATGATATTTGTGTCTTGTGAGACGTGTCGTATAAATGTTACTTAAATTAAATGTAGTTACAAAGATCGCCCCTCCCCATATAAACGAAAATCCGACTACAGTCACCTGCATGTTAAATTGTATCCAGTTTTGTGTTTAAATCAATCTCAAATAATTAAAAATAAGTTATTTTTAAAAAATATTAGATACAAAAAGGTGTTACTTATTTATTTATTCATTGCTATCTAAAACATTTCTATATATTAAGTTCTGATTGGTCGTCAAATTCAAGTCATCAGATTGGCTAATCTAATCATTCGGTCGATATATAAACTTGAAACAGTGTTAGTTATCTTCATCACAATTATAATTTATTTATAATTATCTGTAGTTTACCGTCGACATGCCTTCACGTCGTTATCAAGATGACTGTGTAATTGTAAGACTTTATTACTACTTTTATATTCATCGTCTTCTTAATTTTATCTACAGTTGAATGATGATTTTCCAGGATACTTTGGAAATAATTTTTTGCTACCAGCACGTTACCAAGAATATATCGAGAGTATAATTGTACCACATGGAATGGTTTTGGATCGTCTAGATAAAATGGCATCTGATATTCTAGATACATATGAAGCTTCGTATACACATTCAATTCATGTTATATGCATTCTGAAGGGTGGTTTCAAATTCGCGACTGATTTATTCTTCAAATTACGATCAATTATAACATCAAGAAAGAAAGATATCGCTTTGTACATTGATTTCATCTTATCTAATACTTATGTTGTAAGTTGTATACATACATAAATATTGGTTGATTAAATTGGTCAGAATGATTCTGTGGGTGATGGAACAAAATTAAACCCTTGTGCAGATTTTGAGAAATTTCGAAATAAGGTGAGTTGATTACTTCAGTGAATTAGGCTTTACTAACAACTACACTATTATCCCTCTTTCCCTTTTTTTCCCTTCGTGTGCATAGAAGGTTCTCATTGTAGAAGATCTTGTTGATACGGGAACAAGTCTTACTAAAATCGAAGAATTTGTCCTTCAATATAATCCACTTTCGTTACACACAGCTTGGTAGGTTAAAATAAGTTTGTTGCATTTTTATGTTCGTTTCTATTTACTTACTTATTTATTTCACTATTGTTTTTATATTTTAATAGTGAATATTGACTGATTGTTTAGGGAGAATTGAAACAAAGTCTACAGTCAACAAGTGATTGGTTGTCTCACTCACTTTGTGGGTGATCGATAAAGTTAAAGGCAGTAAACTATATGAATTGGATGTTAGACTGGTTACTATGACAACAGTGATTGTTATTATTATTATTGTCAAATTATTGAGGCATATGGTTAGAAATGTTGATCAACTTATGCTGAAGAGGTGAACAGCAATCACCAGTTCATATAATAGTTGATAAGATTTTTAATAAATGAAATAAATGTTTGTACCTGTTATTGTTATCATCTACGTGGTCAAATTATTTTGAATAAAATATAGCATAACATGTGACGGTGTATGTCACGGTATGGTTTATCATTTCCATAAACGAATAGACAAGAGAAAATCGATTTTTAAATTCATTTCCACTTGTGGAACGTATCTTAGGATTTATAAGCCAAAGTATCCAACTGGTGATTGGAATTGTTGCTCCTCTTTGCACTCTGAATCTTTCAGTTTCAAGTAAAGTATAAGTTGGCAGTCAAAGGCCTTCTAAACCAAGTACTTTTTCTTAGCATAACTCTTCAAGAGTATCTGGCTTTAAATTTATTTTCTAACCGACACACACACACACAAACGCACCAGCAGACATTCATTAAAAAACAGAAAACATTATCAGTTAACGAAAACTTACCATCTTTTAGTGGTATTGGGATTCCTTGCAATAATAACAATAATCTATTTGTAACCTCCATGTCACAACTGCATCGTATTGTTGGCAGACTGTTTTCTTATAATCTTCTCGATAATTTTAATCTTCCAAATGCAATTTGCTGTTCATGACTCTGTCATCTATTTACGCATATAGAATAAGTTCATTTCTACATATGAAGTGTCCTTCTCAAGAAAAATATGATTATTCCACTGATACAAAAGATCGCAAATTCTTTTTCAAAGGGGTATCACATTCATCTCATCTATTCATCAGCAATTGATCAGTCCTTGTTGGTGAGATTTTCAATGCAAGCCAATTGGAGAGAATAGTGATTCACTTAACTTTCTGATTTTAGATACAGAGGAAATCCATTTTGGTCATGAGATAGCATTCTGCATTTGAAAATTATTTCACCACGAACATTGGTGTTTATCAACTGTAAAGCAATGTTTTGGTTTGGTACCAAGTAACCTGCAAAGGTGTGCGTCGTTGGTGCAGCGGTGGAACGCTCACCAACCACGCATTAGGTCCATGATTCGATCCTCAGCCAATGCAGTCCTTACCCTCGACTAGCCGATAGTAGATCGGGTACAAGGTGAAGGTTGGGTATGAGGCTAGCAACCCCACCCCGTAAAAATGAAACCACTGCTACAGAAACTTCAAGGCTTCTGCTTGAAGCATTATTTTCCACTGGGAGAGGAAAGGAATAAAATAGAATAAATAAATATAACCCGCAAAGAATCCTTCACATGTGTTTTATTTGCGTACTGGTATATCGCTCACTAGTTCTTTCAGGACATTCACCATAAATTTCATGTGTTTTTCTCTTTTGTGCAAAATAACAGTTTGTTACTGAAAAGAAGACCAGATTGTGTTGGGTATATACCAGACTGTAAGTTCTCGACATTTAATTTTAAAAAATTTCACATGAACTGTAACCTCGATTGGCCCTACTTGCTTCATGGTGTAATTGCTTCAGTTGGAATAAAGCTGTATTACAAAGTTGAACTGGTGTGATTATTCCCTTTCTAAACAACTATCAGTCATAACCCACTAAAAAGTATAATGCCGGAAATACTAAACGATAACATATGAAAGTCTATGATTATTTGCATATTTCCCCATTAAATATCACGAATAAATCATAAATAAGCTTTTAGAAGTGGCAGAGAATGTAGTATTAGAAATACCTGATGAACTATTAAGTGAAGGAATTCTTAAACACCTGTTACCTTTTAGCAGCAAAAATTGGCCTATATTAACTTATTATGAGTAGTTTTTAACGCATTGCTTGATTTTCCAAGACCAATAACTGTATTTAAAACATTTTTGTAGCAGTGGATGGAATATTTGAATGTTCTAAAACTATTTTGTATAACACTATGGTTACCGATTTGTGAGGCGGTAAATGTAAGCCACGATGAGACTGTTAGTAAATAACTAGTAGTAGCAATAGGCAATTATCATTGAAGCGTTAAATCATGTTTGGTGTCATTTTAGACATTTGGGTGAATGTGAAATGTTGAACTCGAACGATATGGTTGTTTGTTACTTTTTTCTATACAATATTTTGGTCAGTAATAAACAAGTACAAATATCTACTATCACAAGACTCCTGTACCATAAAAAAACAGTTGTAATCATTCGATTCTTTTGAATATTCTCTGACAATGACAGTTGTTTTCTTTGCATATGTCCACTGTCCGTGATTTACATCCAAAGCAGGAAACTTTTGACCTAATTTCTCTCCATGTTTTCTTGTACAAAACAGAAAAAAATACAAGCTGATTATTTACTGTAAATATATCACTGCTTTATGCTCATAACTGATCTTAAACATCTCTTAAATTCTTTAGTTGTTGGCTTTGAAGTACCCAACCGATTCATAGTTGGATATGGCATTGACTACAACGATAACTTCCGTGATATACCAGTAAGTGTGTTTCTAAATATATATGCTTATAGATCCGAATGTCAAGTAGCTTCACTGAAAAAAAAGGCTTAATGATAACACAGAACCACTGAAAATCTGCAATTTTCCAACATGAAATCCTTCAACAGTATTGCTTCAAAAACTTGCTGAAATTTAGGCTCATTAGTGTCAGATGATACGGTGAGCATGCGATCAATAACGTCTAAAACATTTCTGATAATTCAATATGTGACGCTATAACCATATAGTGTCATCACAGAGTAAGCTTTCTCATTACACTGACGTAGCATATCTGCCAGTATTCAAAAACATTCTACTAGGAACAACTAGGTGATGAAAAGTTGGCTGATTTACATCAAATAGAACTCAAACACAGTGTAAAAATTACTTCTGTCGTCAACTTCTTGATGGTCTATTCTAAAAGCCATAATTAAGTGGTAACAACGAAAAACTAAGATGATTTGAAAATTTTGACCTTCAACTGAATAGATCAATAAAAATTTGAGCGAGAAAATAAGTATAATGCCGAGTGAACTATGAAACTATACTCAGAGAGTACAAGAATAGTGGACTGTTTCACATAATGTCATTCGTAAGACAGAAGATTGCACATTAAAAGTAAGCTATCCATAGTTACAAAAGGACGGATTTCCCAGTGAAACATTTTTTTAGCCTTTAGACCTAAACGAATTGGACATCTTTTAATCCTGATTACATTTGGATGTAGATAAAATAACCGTTCACCCAAAATTAGTTAACACTCTGTATTTTTGTTTTCCTGCATCGTTCAAACTCTTAAAAAACAAAACTTTACACAGGTCCAGTGTTGATATGCATTAAATAAAACTACACAATTTGTTGCAAATAACTGCACAGCTTACATGATACATGTCTTTATACTTTTCAGCATGTTTGTTCAGTAAATAATGAGGGTAAACGGAAATTCGCTCAACCCACACCCTCAGTAACAACAGTTCAAGAACAAAGTAAACTGTAACTACTCATTATTTTTCTTCTATACAATTACTTGTAAACATTTAAAACTACACTATATTGTCTTCACTTAGGTTTGACAATCAACACTTACACAGAATCCTATTTTGTTACATTTCATTTTTCAAGTAAAAAAAAAGTTTTTCATACGAATACTTTCCGTTCCTCTTATTTGTTTATTTTATGATTTCTTTATAAAAACAATAATAGAACAATATCGATTTACTTCACAATAATTAAATACATCAAAATTTGCAGCCACCCATCAAGGAGATTATACAATCGAAGATAAGGGGTTGAAAACTATAGAAAAATATTCATACAGACATCTACAAAACACAAAATGATTGAGCAAATATCCTTTTCGATAAATTCCCCTATTGTCTCTACAATTACATATATATAGAATATTCTAGAATAGTAGTCAACAGTAATATTAGAGTTTTTTAAATAATATCCTTTTGTAAAGTGAGATCAGTGGAATCAAAAGTTCATTAAAGGTGCTTAAATAATAATAAAGATATAGTAGCAAACAGAATATCAACTAAAATTAGGAAAATTCCCCAGAAATTTCGGGATCATTCAAACCTAGATTGCGAAGATAAGGATAATGTCTAAATAAACTTCTTCTGGACGCACAAATCAGGCTTCTTAATATGGATCCCAACGGCCTCAATAATATTTAGTAGTCGAACTCTTTAGGCGAAATTGAGATTTGTTGGTATGCCGTAAATGACCCTGAAAGCATGGTTGACATCAATATCTTGTGTTCCATATCGACAAGATGAGATAGGTGATGTTCGAAAATTCGACGAGAAACACATCTAACTGTACTGCCTATGTAACTGGCTCCACAGGAGCAGTGAAATTGGTGGATACACATGGAAGAGGCGAAATTGGGCAGTTTGTCTTTTACTCCCGAAAGCAAAAGAGGAGTGGTTTTAAAGACACAGAGTAATTCGGCAGCAGGAAACGCTCTGCTTACCACATTTCCAAGCCGCTGTGTTAGTATCTCGCTAGTGTTGTCCCCAAGGAACTGCATTTGTAAGAATAAGGCCTGTTTAAGAAAGTAATGTGTCTTGTTGTCAACATTCAAGTTTTTTCTGGGTAATTTAAGATGTCTTTCAATAGAAAGTGAACGAAACAAAGAATGTCAAATTATCCTAGTGTATGTGTTACTTAAGAAAGCAGCGTGATCGATCAGGAATATTCATTTACTAAAGATTATTGAAACTATGAAGATATTACTGTTAATTTACAGACAATTCCAAGACTTGAATTATGCAATAAGAACACTTTTTTCATTCGATCTTTGACTGTGGACTTAAGATCACTGAATTAATGAAGTGAATTCTCAAACTAAAATTCTATACCTATTCTGCTGGAAACCTCATTCGGTATTCAAAATCACAGTCCGATAGACAGAGTTTCTTTTTAAAGCTGTGATTTTTTTTACAAAACTTTCAAGGTGGGTGGACTTCTTTCTTAAGTTTCCGATTAAATTCTTCGTTGATTCAATATGAGGCCTAGTTATTCCAAGAGTCAGTTGCACTTTTAGTGATAGCAGTGTATTGAAAAACCGATGCGGATAACACACAGTCTTCATCAGATAGTTTTCTTAAAATTTTACCTAATTGTTTCCCCTTAATTTCCTGCAGTTAATCAGTAGATTATCCAGTGACTTTAAGAAAACGAAAGGAAGTCATCAATTCACGAACGCTTTGTTCTTATTGTGTTATTCAAGTTTATTGTGGGAAATAATTGCACGGAATTTCTTGACTGTTTAGAAATCATAGACGGGAAAGTGTACACCTAAATCGTTACGCTCTACCGATTACTAATGAAAACAAAAGGCATTAAAAGCATAATCAGATATGCCTAACGAAATAAAAATGTGATAAGAAAATAATCATAAGATCTATAATATATCCCTACAGTGACAGGACACTAGGCAAAGACGATTACTGTCCTGACCTAATTGTCTCAATCAAGTCTGAAGTATGGTCATGAAGCTTTAATAATAATAATAATGATTTACTTTATTCCAAAAACAGTACTAATAATACAGAATGGAATTCTCGGCATTTGTCACAATATTGCATCTGATTTACTTAAAATATAAATAAAATTAAAAATTAAAACAAAAGTAACCAGAGGAATTTGTACACGTTTACGATATAAAGTCAAAAATATTCGAAGCACGAATTGAGATAATTAAATATAATAATAATAACAGTGAGTTTGTTTCAAACAGTATTGTCGATTCAGTTTGGAAATTTTAGCATGTTACTATAGAGTATTGAATATAATGTTCTGTTGATGTAGTATAGTGAGGGGAAATACAAGATTAACAGTGGTAACACAACTTAAACGATGTTCACACTTATGAAAAATAAATAAATGAAAACAAAAAATTGAGGGGATTATAAATATAAGAAATACGATAACAATACTGTAAGGGTGGAAGAAATGGTTTATTTAGTAGTGCGAAGGAGGTTAGTTAGTTCATACCTGACACCATTTTCATCACATAGAGTACGTGCTAAATATGGTATAGTGGAATTTATATACTTAGAGGTACGTGCATCAATTCTTTTGAAAAGACTTTTTGTTATACCTGAGGAGACACAAGATTGGAGCTTTGGGTAGAGTGGGTGATGAGAGTCTGACAAACTTCCTTAGAAAATTTATTACATGACATCAAGTGCCTATCAGTGACAATGTCAACGATATGGCCCAATGGAATACCACTCATCCTACTGACAGTCTTCAGAGTTCTACGAAGTATGACATAGTCTTTTTTAAGCAATCCAAGAAAGAATGAGGGTGAACAGTAAAGAAGAACAGGTAAGATGCACAAGTTGACAAACTGTAAGAGGAGTAGGGGTTGAGTTATACCTGAGTGCCTCAACTTCTTAATGTAGAAAGTCAGACGATTATTCTTTTAGAAATCGCTAATACATGGAAAGACCAGGATAGGTCAGAAGAAAGAATTAATCTAAGATACTTAACTTCAAACTTGATTTCCATATCAATATCATCAATTTTGCAAGGGTCGTAGGAACCAACGGCTTCATTTAACTTTCGTTTGCATCGGAAACTGAAATTTACAGTCTCACATTTGGAAGGATTTGGTTTAAGGTCATTACACGAAGATTATTTGCTAATTCCTGATAGAAGGCTGTTCATCTTAGCACAGTCAAGCTGGAAGTTAACAGACGTTGAAATAGTTAGATCATCAGCATACTTAACAAACTTCATTTCATCAGAGTGAGGCAAATCATGCAAGAAGAAAGAAAACAGAAAAGGAGAAAGGACAGGGTCTGGAGGGATACCAGCCTCAGTAAGCAAAGAAGTGGACAACTTTCCCTGACATACAGTGTACTGCTTTATTCCTGAGAAATAAGAATGCAGCTATTTGACAACCCAACAGTCATTTTGAATTTTGGTAAGCTTGTTTAACAAAATGTCGAAAGCAGATGTGTAATCTAGGAAGGTGCAGCTAACAAACTTAGCCCCCTTGGTACAAGACTGCAACTGCATCTAAAGTACTTCTACTGTGTTTATAAGCGAATTGTTTGGGATCGTTAAAGGCTTTAAGTGAATGAAGTGATGAATTATCATCCATCGTGCTTTTGGATTGAATTGAAACAGTTAGCAGTAATCGATATTTAGATTTCATACTTGGCGGCACTCACACCTAGGAGTTTAACAGAATGTTAATAAGGCCAAAATATCTCAGTGGTTGCGTCCCTACCTGCAGAACTGAGTAATACAGGTTTGAATATTTCAATGGATATAGGTTCCTTTGTCGTTGTGGATACTCTTCGCAGATGATATATATATATATATATAAACACCAACACATATGTGTTGTTCAGTGGTATACTCGTCACTTATTATGAAGTGAATTTAGCCTCACCTAATTAGCAGTAATATAATTATTAATAGCTTTATTCCGAATAATTTGTTTATACACAATAAAGAATCTTCAGCGAGTTTCATTGAAAGGTATTTACTCATTGTACAGAATCTTAATGTAATAACCGATGATATATATCATCTGAAGCAATATTGTTGTACTGGAAACGTGCTCCAGAACTCCTACACTATGTTCCTCCTTCATTTCCTTCGAAAAATCTCTAGCGGTAGTTAGAAATTTATTTGAAGTTGTGCACGAGTTTAGAGTGTCTCACTGCGGTAATTAGATTATTAAAACGACGTGAAACGGAATAAACATGTGTTTTGATGGATAGTTAATTTATATAGCCCTGTGATTTAAGCAGGCCGCCAAATCATATGGATTCCTGATAAACACCATGATGGATAATTTAAACAGCCATCAGGTAGTTACGCAAACTCACCAGTAAAATGTGAAAACCACCTACTAATATAATTTGTGTCAAATACTAGTTAATTTTGGCTAACAGAGTTTATCGTACAGATATTTCTAATTAAATTTCGTTAGTTTCACCAAAACTTTATTCATACGTGATTAATATTTCTACTGTGTATCCATCACCAGAAATACAAGATTGATTTACTTTTGGTTTAAACGCGTATGTAATACCACTTCTTCTTTAGGTATTTTTGTATAACTTAAATAAAGCAAAACTGTCCACTTCTTATTATCTCTATTATTTTCCATTTTTTATGACCTCAATTAAACTCATGACTACATATTTTATTAGAACTTGGTATGTTCTGAAAGTTTTTATTAACATATTTAATGAGGTACCTACTTTAAACTTATATATAAAATGGCAGAAAAACATCTAAAAGCCTGCTGAGCTTCTTGTCAATATGCAAGCGGACCCGTTGGCCCTACATAGATTCATGAGACATCTTACAGGTCAGCACATCCTACAGGTTCCAATTTTCGAGATATTCTAAGCCACTTCTCACTAAACGATCACTTTTATACTTCGAAGTAATTTTTTATTTAAGCGCCGTTATACTCTGTTATGTCTTAACAAGCTAAAGCTTGCTCTTTTCACTTCTGTTCTTCTGCCCCGTAAGGTCTGGTTGTGCTAGTGGAAACAAACACAACAATAATACCGATATATAAGGAGAGCTTTATTTTCATCGGAAACGTCAAAGTTTTTATGGTAAGACTTATATGGTTAGCATTATACGTTTCTAATGTATATTATCACTCCAAGGACTTCATGGCTCCTTCTCTAGAGTATCTTGTAGATGTACTTTCGATGATATGTTATCCTTGAT